ACCGCGAGGTGGACGTCGCGGCGTTCTTTGGATGATACACACGTTCCTCGACCCGTTCATAGCGCCAATAGACACAATAATGAAGACGTTTAGCTTCCAATCTATCAAGTATCATAACCATCATTTTTTACCAGCACCTGTCACCTCAACGATTTTTGGGGGGGCAATATTTTGCCAAGTTATGCAGGATTGACCTGGCGGGCGCCGATGGCGACTGGCCCTGGATCCCTGGCGGCGCATCCTGAGACGGCCGTTAAATCGATGTCTGTCCGGCGCCCTGTCGGCGGTCAAATCAGCCCGTCTGGGTGACCTTTGGCCAGGTCGATATGGTTTTCATCTGACACTAGCGGAGGGGGCGGGGCGGGGTCGGATCCGGCCCACTGGGCGGATATAACGGCGCTGTTCGACGGCGTTCGATCGGGACCGTGTGGACCTCGGGTCAACACGGCGTCAGCAGTCGCCGCCGTTCAGGGAGCGACGGACCAGCCGGCGAATAGCGCCGTCATCCGGCGGAGACGTCGACGAACGCGCCGTGCTAACGGTGGAATCCTGCCAGATTACCAGTGCAAGCCAGGCGGCGACTGGTTTCTACGCCTTACACAACAATCTCTAGTAGCAAACTGTATAACTCGATGGGATAACCAAGCCTCAACACAACTATCAAAATATTACCCGGTCCTATCAGTGCAAGCTTTTCCGACTACGACAAAAACAACTCCGGATGGACAATTCAACACAAAAGAATATCAGAAAGTTCACAATCCTATTATCCCCGACACGGTCTACCATGGCAGAGGCCATGTCCGTCTCAATTTCAGGAGAATCGCTTTCGGTGAAACTTTCAGGCCCGGCTCAGCATTCCTCCCTTTCCAGCTGCAGGAGGATCAGCCCTAGGAAGGAGGCCGCTGCCTCGACAAGACTCTGACCGGATGTTCGTCCGCTGCTCGCTGGGAGCGGGTCGCGCCACCAGCCTTCAGCCAAGGCCGACACGGGCTGCTAGTCGCGCCGCATTCCTATGGCACTCCCGGTGATAACTTACCCCGGCGCGGAGCGCATACGGGGCTGATTGTAAACACACTGCTGTTTTACAGCTCAGTGCTTAGCGGACTGAAGTTAGTGCTGCGCATCTTTGCGCGTCCCATTCGTTGGCGTGTTCTAGCGTGTTGAGTCACCTGCACAATGATTACATACAGCCCGAGCCCCCGCAGCTCTGTGGAGAGCGCATCCGACTGTGCCAGGCACGGGTTCATTCACAGCAGGAACCACGGCGCCCGTGGCGAAGAAACCAGCCCCTGTGGCGCGGGAATCACGTAGTCTGTTGTGCAATACAAATCTTTACTGACCAGTGGAGGCTTCGCAAGCTAGGAACGCGAGGCGGTTACTGACGAAGGATTGTGTGACGCCAGCTGATGTGCGGTTACTGAACGGGTTCCGTGACACCAGCTGGCGTGATGTGGTTGCCGTTGGATCCCGTGCCACCTGACGCACGGTGGTTACCGGTAGATCATTAGACAACACCTTGTAGTGCGGTTTCTGACAATTACCCAGAATAGTGTGACGATAAATAACCATGCACTACCCCAGAAATCAGTCTCAAGCTCTGCGCCTTTGACCACAGCTTTGTCGTAGCTCAGCCGCAGCAGCGGCGGCAGCCAGTCGCTGGTCTCTCTACGATACCTAAGCCGCAGGTGAGACTGGCCGTCGCTCCCGGTCTGCGGCTTTCACTCGTCCGACGGCCGGCCGCACACACGGACGAACAGGTGGTGGGCGTCGCTGCAGCCGCCCGCGCCACGTGCCCGGCCCCCGTCCCGGTGGCAGCTCCACGACAACCCACGTCGGACCGGATCGGGAAGCTTCACAGCTTCTGGCGACGTCCGACGGCGGTCAGCCGACAGGGAATTAACATTCCAGTGAAAACAAGTCTCTCGGTGGATGGAAATATGGCGGTTTCACATGCACCGTGGGTTTATGAATGGCTACATAATGAAACGTTACCCAAGAATATCAACAGCGGAAGCAGAGCGAGCAATGATGCCGGTGACGGGTGAACGAGCCACACTTGCCCCGTTCGGCCGCGCTCAGTCGCTGCCGAAGCTGGTTAAAGCGCCCCATTTCTGTACCCGCTCAGCGCACCCGCCGGGGCGCAGTGGCCCGTTTTTCACGCACTGCCGGCAGCACGAGGCGGGTGGACTCAGCGGCGCGGCGCGCCTCTACCGCACAGCGCACCGCATACAGCCGAGGCTCTGAGCGCCCCACACCACGTCACCCGGATTAGACGGAGCTTCTACTCATCGCGCAAAGCCGAAGCTTTAAATTGCCCCACATCGCGACGCCTGAGTCTGACTGAGTCTCTACTCACCACGAAGCGCCATATCTTCGTCCAGCACAGCTCTCTGCAATCAGTCTTCAGCCCATCCAACACCAGACCACGGCACAGCCTCCCCACTCGGCGCCAAGGCGCCAGTCCCTGTGCGTCTCCCTACGCGTCACCAGACGCCCAGACGCCTCACTATGCGCCCCCACCAGCCGTCGAGCTCTGCTCGGCTCTGCCCCTGCCGACTCGGAGAGGAGGCGTCTCGTCGCCGAGTCGATCGATGACGGGCTGCGTGGTCGTCCCGCCGCCCAGATTGATTCTCGTACCGACGTCACCGACGCCACGCCAGTGCGCAGCGGGGATTCCGAGAACACGTGAGGTGGGAGATGAGTGGTCTCGGAGCACGCACGCTTCAATCGAGGGAAGTTCTTGTTCAAGAGGTTCTCAAATCTCACACGTGTCAATAGCAGGAGCATCGACCCAGTCAGTCAATTGAAATAATGAATCAAATGTTGCTCTTGTTGCTGCCTTCATGTTGCTCCTTTGTTTCAATAAGCACGGTGTGTGATGTGGTCTCACCCTGATTATAGACAAAATAAACCACACCGCAGAAACAGACGCAGTTTTTTATCCGCGGCACACTCAGCATAGAGAAGCAAACGGTCCCCATTCGCAGACAAATAATCCTATCATTGACCATCTGCACTGGAGTTCCCGCTGGCATCTCACCACGCAACACTACCGTTTGACGTCGGCTGCAGGAGACGGTTGAGAGTCCAGCGGGTGCGGTGAGGAGGGTCCGTCGACCACCCCACGTGGTGACACTGACCCCAAACACGTGGCCCAGGCGCCGCTGCTGAGCTCAGCGGTCACCCGGCTGTGATTAACGACCCCCAGTGGCGAGCAGGATGAACGGACGTGCCAGACTCCGCACCGAACAGTCATCGACACAGACGCGTGTGGTCGAGATGACTCTTTGACCGTGCCCCTACTGTGTTGACTGAGGCTTGCCAGAACAGCCGTGAGTGGAGCATGGCCGCTAACCAGGGTGACCTAACTCAGCCCCGGACAGCAGCGCTAGGCTGACCCAGCACTGGGATCGGATGGCGCATCCGATACGAGCAAACACGGAGGGTTCTCCCGCGCCTAAAACAAACACTTCGTATGCCTCCTGCAGCTGAGACTGACACTTTGCAGTCCTTCTCACGCCTAGGAGTCTGCCATGTGTGACGACCCGCCGTGGGTTTCGGTCACGGGCAAGCTGGGTGCGCAGACAGTACTGCCGGTTTGCACGATCCCAAGCGTCAGGACCTTAAATTTAAAAATTAAAAACGTCCAAATAAAGAATGCATGTCCGGTGGATTCCTGGTGTAGCCATCGTAGCATTCACTTCGCTTTGTCCCTTTATGTTTCACCCCCTGTCCGACAGCAAGCTCCTTAGACACAGGGGTCATCCATAGCTCGTCACCTGCGAGGCGGTCGTATTCAATCGTGAACAGCCTTGAGCCGTCCAGAGGCCGCCAGCGGCGGCAGTACAGGCTACAGGCGCGGCCGACAACCCGTGCAACAGGAAAAACACAGCGCCATGAATCAGACAGACTTCCGCGGCCCAGAACCGGCTCACAACCTACTCAGGAGCCTCCTGGGCCTGGTCCTGAGGAGCCACAAATCGAGTATGTGCCACGCGAGTACGGCGTGCCTAGCACTCAGGGCCAAAATAACGGACCCGACCGGCGCGGCGTCTCGAACCAAGCTGGGCTTGCATTTCGGATCTATGCGCATTACAAGTGTCAGTGATTCGGTACTGGTCGGACAATGGATGGCGGGCGGTCGTCGAAACGGGTAGGCCATACGCTGCTCAACCAAGGACGAACGCCGTGTGCTGACAGCTGAGCAAAACGGAGCAGCGACAGCCACCAGCTGATGTACTGATCACCGATCAGACTGAGCGGTATCAAACCGAGAGTTCCGGCAGATGGTCTGATCTGGATTCACGGTCAGTGTCGAATCAAGGTTACTGACCGGTTAAAGCTCACTTCACATGCGTGCAGAGAAACATGCATCGGCGATCGTCTGTCGTCAGGTGACGAGAGGGACCTGTTCGCGAACTGCGCTTGATATGGTAATGTTATTCGGTGTCATCCTGCCGTTGGACCGACGCTAGTCCGCTCACGCTGGAGCCGCGAGGGCGCTCACTAAAGCTCGGCCCAGAAGTGCCTGAGCGTGATGGTCCGGCCGGCAGAGCTGGTGCGACATGACCCTGAACTCCGACCGACATAACTGGTGCTGCAAACAGACACCGGTCGGCTCAGTGGCACCATTCCACAGCGGCGCGGTCACCAGGCACGGCCACTGGCGGCAGGCGCCGACGGCCAGTGACTCACTGACCCGGGCAGCAGGCTTCGCTGTCAGTCACAGAACTAGGCGAGACGAAACAGACTACAACCGCCTCCCCTAATGATCTGGTCCACTGACAAGCTCCGGGAGGTCAGTGCCCCCTGTCCAGACGTCCTCTTCTCCGCACCAACCGGCGCCCCCTTCTCTGCGCCAGCGGCTATGTTGTTCAAACCCCAAACCAGACGCGATTGGGTCGACTGCTGAGCGATACACTGCTTCTCTGGACAATCTGCTCGATAGTCTCAGGAATCGTTCCATTCGAGAATCGAGTCCAGCTACACAGACTTACCTCTTTCATGGCCTGGTTCTCCAGTTTCTTGGTGGACAGGTTCAGGTGCCTCTCCAAGCTGGAGCAGAACTTCTGCGTCTGCTTCTCAAACTTCTTCCGGCCCTCCTGTGAGAGTATAGAAGGCGGGGCGTCAGTCACGGAACGCACACCATCGAGCTCACTGAGAATCGATTACCGAGATACAAGGCCTTGGTCACCAAATTGCATACGAGAAACACAGGCATTCGAGTTGAGTGCATTTAGCCAGAATCCTAGCGATGGCACATAAGAATGAGGTAAGCACAAACAAACATTCATGGATGATTTATACACATAGGGCACAGACATGGAGAAGAATGTGAACACAAGTATTGAAAGAAATAGATGTATGCATGTGCACGACCTTCAGTGCACACGGCAGAGCACGCAGTTACAGCCTCATCAGGAATGTAAAACTTGGCAGTGAGTTGACTGTTAAGTAGTCGAATTATAAGGCAGCCTCCTGGAATGGAAATGCATCCAGGCGCAGCCATCAAGATCCTGTCAACTCGTATCATCTCAACTACATATGGGCTGTGAAATACCGTCATTAAATCGGAGGGATGCAAGTGCAGTACTTCAGCCACACCCGTTGTGGCCTCCATTGTAAAAGGGAGCACGATTCTAACGTACTACGATGAGGCACAAGGGCTCGACACACTCCAACGTGTCCCATTCATGTTGCATGCACAATGCACATGCCGTTTGCCCAAGGTTGCACAGCTGCAGACAAGCGGGTCACTCTGGGGCGGGGAGGGTCGCCAATACAGACCAGCCTCTCCGCCGCACAGCCAGTCCGCAGTGGAGCACACAGTCCTCGTTCCCCAGTCCCTGTCCCGTCGCCCGGGGCCCGTCCGACCCTTCAGAGCGCATTCCACGGCGGGCACGGCCGCGGGCTGGGCACACGGGCATACGGAACGGACGTGACCGGGTCCCGGTGGCCGGTGGTCGGCGGCGGCCCGGCCACCCACAGCCTGCCGCCCGGGGCACGGCGCCGCCAGTCTACCAAGGGGCGCCAGTAGGGCACCGCCGCCGGGCTGATGTAGACGCGAGTCGCGCCGTCCTCGTGAGTGCAGACAGCACCGCAGCGGCGCCGCGGTGGCACCGCGCGGTCACTGCACGATAGCGGGCGCAGAGATCTCAGAGCCGTCTGAGTCACTCCAGATAGGGTGGGGCGGGCTGCCGTCAGCAGGCGGACCGCACCCGTCGGATGGCGAAGGGGGAGGGGAAGGTGACACTGCAGGGTGCCAGAGTGACACCGCAGGGCGCCAGAGTGACGCTTCGGGGCACGGCCGCAGATAGACGTTACTCTGATGAGAGCTAGAGATGCGGATAAGTAGCGGCGGATTCAGCGGAGTCCACGGCCAGCAGAAGTTTGGAGCTCTAGTAAATCACGTTAGCACACTAGTCACGTCCTTAATTCCACGAAGAATGTTTTGGTACCTGTGTGAAATTTTATTTCGTACAACAAAAACATTCAGCAGATCATCGAACTGAAGTCAAAAGACCAGTGTGCACCGCCCGTTCCGGGATGACATAATCAAACAGGGCATCCCAGCGGATAGGGGATTGACGGCACAAACTGCGGGTGGCGGCCGCGGGGCTGCACGCGCAATGAGCCACCGTTCGCCAAACGATCTCAGTGATTGAGCGACGCCAGGCCGGTGGTGAGTCGACGGTGGTCGTCCGTCGTCCGTGTATCATCTGCACCCCTGCGCAATCAAGCTGCCAGGGTGAGATGGTGAAGGAGCGGCGGGTCAGTGAAGTCGGTCGACTGTTTGTTTAGTTTGCAGAGGCTGTGAATGTGAGGTCATTCGGCATTCAAGTGAAAAGAAAGTCCCAGGAAGTAATCGGAATCGATGTGGCAACTAATAGTGATAAAGGAGTGTAAGCATGGCCACTATTAGGAAGCTGAGAAAAAAAGCAGCAAAAGGTGATATCACGGAATATATAGTCTACGACACTATATATCGTAGACTAATTCAGAGGTGGGCATCGCTACCGAAATTTGGAAACCGCTACCGCTACCTTCCGCAACCTTAGGTACCCAAAGCGCAATCGCAACTCCGAAACTATTTTGCAGATCGTAAAACCGCAACTCGCAACTCCGCAACTCCGCAACTCCGCTACCAACCTCTATTAGGTTCTTATGTTTTATCAGTTTTAGTCCTGAAGTGCAGTGTTATGTCTGACAGGTAGTACCTTTGGTTGACCTCTGTTGGTGACCTGACTGTTGGTGACCTCTGATGACGTCACGTGACCTATAATGCTCAATGTGCAAGTCATTGCGACACCAGTCGACGTAAATGACCTGCCAGTGCTACTCTTTGCATGTTTTAGTTGTTTGGGATCATTTTGCCGCAAATCCGGACGAGTTGTATTTTATCCCATTGACTTATAATGGAGAGGTCACACAGTTGACCTTACCTTAAGCCACAAATATAAAAAATATGAGACAATACACTTTGTACCTATATCTTGTTACCCTTGTCACATGCAGACAGTTTCAAAGTGATATCGGTCAATAGGTGTATCTAATTCTATATTGCCCTGTATTGCTAGGGCGGGTGTTTAATTTTTTTCGGAGATTGGGTCCCTTGACTTGACCGGGTGACCTGACCTGAGGTGACCTGGGTCTGACATGTTCATACAATGTGTGGAAAGGATGTGTTAATAGCAGTGTCGAAAACAGCCGCCCTGCCGCCGCCTTTTTTATATATTTGCGGAAAACCTTACGGAGGGGTGTCCAAGCACCCCTCCCCTGCCCCCAACCCCGTGCTGGCGACCATAAAATTTGACTTAACCCTCGCTGTGTGCGGTGTTTTACAGCGTCTAACGTGTACGTCGGTTGGACCCCCTCCCCCCTGCCGTTCGGCCCCTGATCGAGCTAGAGCTTCGCGGGAAAAAAACGAGCGTGTTGCCCGTGACGATCGAGGAAGCCGATGATACCCAATTTTAAGGTCATAGGCCATTGGTTGACCTTCCAGGCCAGGTCAATGACCCAAAAGTCGGGAAAATCGGACCTGCTAGAACTTCGTAAAGTGAAGCTTTTATGCTTTTGGGGGGGGGGGGGCGCTGATAACAAATTTCATGTTGGTTTTGATCAAAGATGACGTCTTCATGCATTTGGGCCTGGTCGGGTCAGGTCAGGTCAGGTCAACCAGTAGGCGTCCTACCGCCTATCCAGTGTCAACCACCACTGAAAGCCTCGTAACATGTTACTAACGCACTAAAACTACTTCGTAAATGTTCAAACGGTCATTAAATTCGAAATCAGCTTCAACAACTAGCCTGGAAACACGTGCAGTGTGCAGTGGAGTGCAAAGAGTACAGTGGCGCCCCCACCAGCGGTGGCGGCCCCGGTAGCGGTTGCGCTTTAGAATTTTTCGCTTCCGCAACTCGCAACTCCGCAACTTTTTTGGGCTCGGTAGCCGATCCGTAACTCCGCTACCAAGAGGGTAGTCCGCAAGTTGCGGAGTTGCGGAGTTGCGGACTTAAGTTGCGCAATGCCCAGCTCTGGTAGACGACTATATAGTATATATTCCGTGGTGGTATGATACAAGGTGGGATGGTAAGGAGAAGATAGGTGAAAAGCATGGAATTAAGGCGAGATTAGGCCAGGTTATAGGAAGTGAGGTGAGACCAGAGTGGGCGAGGTGCTTTGAGATGAAATCAGGTGATGTTTAGTCAAGTGATGCGGTCACAGGCGAAACAGGTTCGGAGCCGAGACCTGCGGTGTTCTGCTTTCACTTTCACACACTAACGAGCTACAAAACGCCGACCTGAAGAGGCAGAGATCAGCTTCCCGAATACACGGCTCCATTGTGTCGCCTTAGAGATGTCGAGCAATTCTAGAAACCGGGGGCGTTCGGAATACACCTTTCCGGTCTCCAATTTGGCTGCGATTGAGGTGAAAACTACGCGATTCTTAGCTCATATTTAGTATTCACGGAGGAAGACGCATGCACCAGCCGGCGCACCCCAGCGCTAGCCGACGCTGAAGACGTGAGGCATGAACCATAAGTAGACTGGCGAGAAGACCCGAGACACCGACTCAGAGTTAGAGGCGAACTCTCATAGACCGTCACAGATCCACTGCAGCACAATACCCCTCAAGCCCCTAGCGGTGGCCACGGCCAGAGCACGCAGAGACCCGATTCCACTGTAGAAAGTGCTCCTTCTCCGTTCCGTTGAGCTTAGCGCCGTCCCGGTAATTGATCAGTGAGTTTGTGCACCAGCCAATAACGATTTCACCTAATCCCTCCGCTTTTATTCAATTGCGGAAAACGGCTAAGCGACGAGCTGATATGTCCAATACTGTTACTGAAGTTGCACGTTTCTGTAGGGATTAGCGACAGATCTACTGCTGAATCTAAGATAGCATCGGCAATCAAAATCAGCATTTACCTGGGCTTCGTTGGTAGCTGAATGGTGAAAGGTGAACAATGAATGATTTCAAATCATGACTGTGAGAAATGTCAAGGCGCAATTTAAACCCATTCTGTGGTTTATCGATCAGTTCATCAGACAAAACTTTCAAGTTCAGACAACAGATTGCTGAGACAAAACGGCACATAGCGACACCATCTGAGACAGGTTAACGACCGGTCAGTCAACCTGGCCTCGTGAGTGATGCGAGCACGGCGAATTCACACGAGCTCTGCAGACAAGCATATGCGAGACTGGTTGTTCACAGCAAATCAAGAGGGCATCCCCATTTCATCCCAATTATGTGCTCTTGGAAAGTAAGAAAGGACAGAAACACAATAGTAAAATACACATTTCAATGACCACAAACTCCTGCTTAGAAAACTTCCACGCTAAAAAAAACAGTGGCTTCACCGAGACACCGTGTTGCACCAAGTGTTACTGACCTTTGCGGCGCCGATGTGCGTCCTTCGGAATGTGTCCAGTGCTCCGATCACCTGTTTGTGGCCGTGTTCGAGCTGAAAAACAGAGAGGGACGGACGTCAGGGCAAAGACAAGAGAGAAAGAGGCGCATTTCATGGTAGGTGATAGTGCTAAAGGATAGGTCGAGTACAGATGCCGCTGGTGGGACCAGAGGAGCAGTGTTCTAAAATTGGATATTGGTTGGGTGTGCCGATGAAGAAAAAATCTTAGGATGAAAAAAAAAGAAAGTAATTAACTGCAGTATTTTTGCAAAATGGTGTAATGCCAATTTTTATGCTAATTGATAAACCAGGATTTCATGTCAGGATCTTGACAGGGTGTGGAACAAAAGGATGTGGGTGCATCAACTGTCAAGTGACAAGTGAACTGGCTGTTGGGAATACATGAAACTCTTTTCAGAGATGAAGTAAAGTTGGTCATTCATATTTTAGAGATGAAAATATTTTCCCCATTAGGTGTGATTTGCCACCAAAAAGGCTGAAAAATGAAACACTGCAGAGGAGAGTATTCAAGACAACAACAACAAAAAAAAACTACAAGAATAATTACCGGAGTGTTTTAGCCATTCAACGGCGATCCACATAGTTCAGCTCACATAAAGCAGTAGCCAGTAACCATCACTTTAGCTGCATAACTTTCTCAACCCCATGTACCGAGGAACGTGATACTCAGGAAGACGTGATACCCGCGCGATGCGTCCCACGTGCCAGGTGCGGCAACACGTGCCGTGAGGTACCCCACGTGCCCGACGGGTAACCCTATCCACCGGCTGTCCCGACCGACATAACCAGTCTGGCGCAGCCGTCAGGGGTATCATCACTGCAGGCAGAGGCCGTGCGCCGCGCGCCGGGGCCGGGCCGGCGGGCTCTGTCATCTCGACACCGCGAGTTCGGGCACACCAGCACGCGCTGGGCTCGTCTGTTTTTACACTGGCGGCCGCAGACGGCAGCGGTCTCGGCAGCTGCGGTCGGTCCGGCGGGGTTCGGCCGGGTTCGGCGGCCCCGTGGTCCGCACCGTGCGCCGGTCCACCCCCGACGGTCCCGGCGCACATCGGGCCGACCGCAGCCCACCTGTGTGCCGGAACGGCCGTTAGCCCGCGGCGCACTGAGCCCCGCCGGCCGGAGAGGCACACGAGGCGGAACGACCGGCAGCCGCGCCGCCGGCACCGCTGGCGGAACTAAGAAGGAAGGTGCCGGCACGGCTCACCGAAATCGGGCCGCCCAGGTAGTTGGAATAAAACGAAACGGCGCACATGAGCAAACGAACCACGCACGACTCACAAACTAACACTAAAAACCAGGATTGTAAAAATCGCCGAAAAGGCTGCTATTTTTCTTTGTTTATGGCTACGCAACATCCCTGAAGGGAACTAGTCTATGATGACAAGCAGAAGCGAAACCATAAATTACAAAACGTCAGAAGCTACAATCACGACTACAGGCAAAACTCTGGCTGCTGGAACTAACAGCCAAATCGTTGGAAGCATTACAAACAAGCACGGAGGAGTCCCGTGCCTGGATGGAATAAATCACGGGAACCAGAGCTGAACGAGGCGGTAATCCACCCGATCCGGTACCAAGGGACGCGCGCGCGTCGACGGTCGGCTCGGAACCGTCTTCCAAGTGCCGACGGCATCGCAAAAACCGTGTGGACTGTCAGCTTCAGCAGGCTGCGCCAGACGCTTACCACCGAGCATCTCTGATGAATCTCCTGCCAAGCTGTCCACAGACTTAGCCGTCAGACTGTGCCGGACCTTACCGAAACCCAAACTCGGCTGCCAAGGTGTTCCGGGCCATACGCGGCACTGAGCTCACAAAGATAAATTCCTGCTGCCGAACTGTCCCCCTAAGACTCCTGCTTCTGAGTTGCCCCGGATCCGCCACTAAATTACCGCTTACTCACTGAGTTATCCTGGATGGACCTCCGCCGTCGAGCTGTCCCGGATCCAGCCGCCAAGCTGTTCCGTTCGAGCCGCCGATATGTTCAGGATCCGGCCACGGATCTGCCCTGGGTCCAGCCATCGAGCTGTCCCGGATCCAGCGGACGAGCTATCCCAGCCCCTGCCAGCGCCGTCCGAGCAGCACCATCCCAGCCACGGCGGCGCCCAGTTGGTTCCCACGGCTCCCGGCAGGCCGCGGCCACAGCCAGTTTTGAGACACGGAGACCGTGACGGCTCAGAGCCGAGACAGAAGCCAGACAGGTCCTCGGCCCACACAGCGAAAACAAACCACACCGAGCGGAGCTTTCCAACAGATTGGAGTTCACGCCCTGAAAACGGAGCTAAGGAGAAACTGAGGACGTCGGCTGGAGTCGCGGCGTAGTGTCAGCGACCGATATCTCGTGCGTGAGCTGGGCGCAGGCACCGTGATCTGTGATCATTCCACAGATACGATGACGGACGGTCCAGCTGTCTGCCCTGATTGGAGGGGACAGGTGTCCTCACCTACAGCGTAGCTGGCAGGGCACAGGTGGCGCTTGACGGCTTCATGAGGAGGAGGGGGACGGCTACCACTGGTGCTCATGTGTTTTGCGTTGCGGCGGTTTATTGGTGTCATCCCTAAAGCGAAGGGGGACGATAGCATCCCAGCACGATTCGTCGCACTACATTCAACAGCCATAAGAACGAAGACATTTTGCTTTGAACCCTGTCATAGTGATTGAAACCCGCGCTGACCAGCCGCTTTCCCAGCACCTGAGACCCTACCCTACCAATAACCGGTGACGTCGTTGATGACGTCATCGGCTGCGTCCGACTGACACACTGACGGCGCCGTCGGCCGCCGAGATCCCGCTCCTACCTGATAGTTCCCAGCCGCCATTCAGATCTCAGCGAGGTTACCAATCAACGGGCGGCTCGCATGACAACGAGATGGCCAAATTCACACAGCCCACATACACACACGCAATGGTGTACCCAAAAACAGGCCGTGTCCTTATTGATGACTATTAAATCTGGTCAGATCAATCTCTCTTAGATGCCCTTGACCGTCTACCGCGTCGTACCAGCAATTAACATCCCATCACATGGCATATCAGCGACGGTCTTTTGCTACGCTCCCGTGTCACGTTAGCTGATATCACCATACCGCCTTATCATGTGGAGAGCCATTAACTCTCAGCAGGTGTGCTTGACGCGTCACGTTGGCTCATGGCAGGTGCGCATGTAGCGTTGGAGAGAGAGAGAGAGAGAGAGAGAGAGAGAGAGAGAGAGAGAGAGAGAGAGAGAGAGAGAGAGAGAGAGAGAGAGAGAGAGACAGAGACAGAGACAGAGAGACAGAGAGAGAGAGAGAGAGAGAGAGAGAGAGAGAGAGAGAGAGAGAGACAGAGAGAGAGACAGAGAGAGATAGAGAGACAGAGAGACAGAGAGAGAGAGAGAGACAGAGAGAGAGAGACAGAGATAGAGACAGAGAGACAGAGAGAGAGAGAGAGAGAGAGAGAGAGAGAGAGGAGAGGGAGAGGGAGAGGGAGAGGGAGAGGGAGAGGGAGAGGGAGAGGGAGAGGGAGAGGACGAAGGGAGGGAGAGGGAGAGGGAGAGGGAGAGGGAGAGGGAGAGGGAGAGGGAGAGGGAGAGGGAGAGGGAGAGGGAGAGGGAGAGGGAGAGGGAGAGGAAGAGGAAGAGGAAGAGGAAGAGGAAGAGGAAGAGGGAGAGGGAGAGGGAGAGGCGGAGGAAGAGAGAGAGAGAGAGAGAGAGAGAGAGAGAGAGAGAGAGAGAGAGAGAGAGAGAGAGAGAGAGAGAGAGAGAGAGAGAGAGAGAGAGAGAGAGAGAGAGACGGAACAAGACAGAAGACAAGGAAAAATTATTATCCAAGAAAGAAGAAGAAAGAAAATAACGGGATACCTATAAGCCAGAGACAAAGAAAGACTAAAGCTCGATTTCAATCAAACGCAGCCGTTAGCCTCTTGGGGCTCAGTCCCAAATGACAGCAGGCCACCCCCAGGATCACAGCAAGACACCGTGCCTAGGACCGACCCCAACCCGGTCCTCAGTTCACGGTGTTACATCGGAGGCTGGGTCTGACGAGTGTCCGACCTGTATCTGACAAGCGGAGGGGAGCATCTGTCTGGTAACCGGAGGGGAGGAGCCGGCACGCTCCCTCTGCTGGGGGAAGCGTATCGTATCGCTAGTCGCTACACCTGTCCCAGTCAGACAGGGAACAACGTGTTACTGAGCCTTCGTCTGGTAAGGGCTCCCGCAACAAGCCTGTGATACGCCAACCCTCCACGTCTCTCGAGCAGCTAGCTGTGCGTGAGCCATAACATGACCAGCTTAGTGTTAACTGTTTTTTTTTTCAGCGTTCTTGTGTGTTGGTAGTGTAGTTTCTGAGTGTTCCCTATAACATGTTTTCATTATTTGACCAAGCCATCCCAAGCGTAGTATCGGAATGGATGACCGACGAGCAGACAAACCGCCATACCAAACTCGAACAGCACGGCAGTACCAGGCATTCACCGTAACGATACCGGTCTATAGTCCAGTAATCCGCAAGAGCTTTCGATCTGTAATCCAGTAATCCGCCGAGAGCTTTGTCTATACATACTCGCCATGTAAACAACCATTCCATGTCTCTGGAAATACGCACCGAGTATCTTGCAATGTAAACAAATGACATAAGCACAGCCCAGTACCAACGGAATGCTATCCAGGGCTTAGATCATCGCTGGAAAGCGGCATCGTTGACGAGCGATGCGCCTTGCTTGACGAAAAGCCGCCCCGAACTAGCAACCTCGGACGAAGTCAGACCTGAACCAGCTCCCCTTCTGAGTGTTACTGGGTGACCCCCTCTCCCCCCCCCCCCTCCTCGTGATGATGACAGCAGAGGTCAGCTCCTTACAGCGGCCACAGTCCATGCCCCAGATGACAATCACTATCCCATTGTCGCACGCCCGGACCACGCGGAGAGAGCGGTCCGGGATGGGGAGCGACTCGTGGCGGCGCGGCGACACGCTCTCATAATGGCGTTTGTGACCAGTGCAGCCCGCGGTGACGACAGAATCAACTCAAAATACGGAAACACAATGCACGACGGGCGTTTGATGTGTTTTGTGACCGAAAAACGCACGTGCGTATGACACAACTTGAGAGCACAATAATGAAACGGGATTTTCATATCCGCGTAGAGCCTGCCGATGGTAGTGAACATAGCACACTGTATTTCTTTTTGTATTAGTTTGAATCTAAACGTAATTCGATGCGATTTGCCACGGCTAGGAGGAGAACCGGTCAGAAATATACGCGTTCCCAGGTGTAGTGAAGACCGCAATCGGCTTTTCAAGGAAAAACAGACGCTAGCGTAAAGAAGGTCGGTCGTTACTGCATACCTAAGGGCGTTACATCAGTATTATGGATATCTCTGCACCATGGGAACGTTAACTCCGGAAGTGCAAGTAGGCGAGTCGAGAGATCAGGGTAATGCTAGCGCATTCTCCAGCTGCTCCTCAATGATACACAAACGAGGACTTCCACTCGAATATCAATCAAATATTACAGATGTATTATTTATATGCAATACACCATGAGACGCTTCTTATTGCGTATTCGGAATTTCACACAAGTATTCGAAATGTTACAAATACTTCCACTGGATTAACTTTCGCTTTACTTCACTCGGGCTTATCATATCGGCACAAAACCATCCCGGTATTCACAGCTCGCAGTTCTGTAAACACGCGACGCTTTTCGGGATGCTTTTTAGGTCACGAAACAATATCACGGTGGAAATACATCACTGATTCCTCGTCAAAGTGTGCCGCTCTGTGCAATCACCAAGACAAATTCCTCTCTAGCAGTCACCCCGTCATAAACACACCACTCCAGCTAAGCGGTAACACTGAATACTATCCAGTGCAACGTCAATGCTCGACAGACCCTCGCACCCGAGTCCGCCAGCCTATGTAGCAACAGCAACCGATTGACTGTGTGTGTGCGCGTCAGACTCCCATTTCTGCAGTGTTGCACAATGGACTGAGCGAACACGCGCCCGGGGCACGTGTTACGGGCTCTGGCGGGACTCCGCGCGGCGTGATCGAGCAGAGGGTTTCAGGGGCACGGCAGCCACCCCTCCCCTCCCCCACCGCTCTCCCCGTACTGCGTCTGCACTGTGGGTGCTAGTTTATCGCCCGTACATACACAAAGTTGACGTCTATTCAATGCAACAGCCAAGGTTCTGGCCGGTTGGCCTCAGCGGCAAGTGTTTGCGTTCAGTGGCTAACGGAGCTGAAAGATAGGATAAGGAGCCCGACTGGACCGCGCCCTGCGACCCGCTACGAGCGGCAGATCCCCACACAGTCGCGTGATATCCACAAGGGCGGGGCAGGGCACGTGAAGCGGCCACGGAGTATTTCAGGGTGAGAACGAAGTCAAAATAACTCCAGTTCAATCATGCATACTGCATAGTTAGTACAAAAATGCGTGTTTGATTCACTCAACTGAAACAGGCAGACAGGTGATGCACCAGTATCATACAACGCCTTTCCAATACATGCTCGTCGTTTCTGTTGCCCTTCACTGAGCCGCCAGTCCCAGAGACAGCGCCCAGTGCCCATCTACTCACCATTCGCTGGCGTTCCTCCTCGATCAGGTTGATGAGCGAGGCGAACTGTTTGAGACTGCCGGCGATGACGATCTCGTCATCCGTCTGTGATCCGCCGATACAGTCGAACTGGAATTTGTCCAGACTGTTGGCGAACGCCCGCTGACATCGCGACAGCTCTGCGGGACACGAAACGGGGCCGGCGGTCACGGGCGTGCAGGGGACGGGGGTAGGTGGTCACGGGTCGGCCGGGGGAAGACGGTCACGACTCACGACTCACGGTCAGGCGTGGAGGATGCTCAGAGGAGGGATGGGGCCTGGGGGGACGATCACGGGCGGTCGGAGGAAGCCTGAGGTGACAGACTGGCGGTCTGAGGAGGACAGTTGGCGGGAAGGATGACAGATTCGATACGGCTAGAACTAGATGACGACAGGATGTTATGTTAAAGTCACAAACAAAACTGTTAGTGTCAGAGTATATGACCGATTGTCTTACTTCAATTTGATTGCGAGAATGCAAGGATGTGTTGGCATCTGGAAGACATCCAACATTTGATGATAAATTTGAGAAACATCGGAAAAACAGCAGCAAGCTTGAAGCCGAACAAAGATTACTTCATCATAACATACCTACCGATGTTAGTAGGGTGACTGTTTTTGCTCGATTTGCTCGATCGACCCATGCTCGATTTAGAAATGTCGAGCCTGGCTCAGTCCCAATATCTGCATGAATAAACAAAGCAGCAGCCCCCGATAAATGAACTTACTGCCCTTATTACTGAGAACTACTCAGTATTCACTATTCAGCTGCTAGCCATATCAGTTTTCGTGGCCTGACCTCCGTAGAGCCCGAGTCCGAATTCAACTTCAGTCCGAGTCCAACTCCAGAGTTCAAACTCGGACAAAACCAGGGAAGAACGTGATGAGCAAAGCAAATTACGGTGCATTGGTATATAGTAAAACTATAGTAGAATACCACGTTTGAGACAAGTCGATTATAACTTCGCTGGCAACTACATACATCTTACCTATGCATCACCACGAATTTAACGACTTCTGCATGTAATCGTCTCAGCAATGCCAGTAGGCCTGGTTTACGTCGCCTCTGTATACACAAGTTAACCCTATCTGGAACTAAGCAGACATTGTGAGTCCATTTGGAGCTGGCAGTGTCGACCTTCAGCCGCCCTTGGCCGCGGTCCGGATATACACACATGGATGCTTCTGGCGACATCCCGTGAGTGTGTGTCGGTCCGATGACTAACCGCTCATGAGAACGAATCACTGAGCGTATCTCCCGTCCACAGAAGGCCAGTGTGTCCCCTTCCGGGCTCAGGGTCTACCACAGGGACCGACTAGGTCACTGGTCGCTGATCAGTGGTCAGCATGCCTCCCTCCAGACTCAGAGTTCAACACAGTCTCCATCCAGGCTCAGGGTTTACCGCACGTCCCGACTGAGCAGAAACTGACCCGAGACGCCGACCGAACAGGACCGGAGACGGGACGGAGCTCCGTCACTGACACCGTGAGTGGACGGTGTCGCACGCGCCATCCGGAAACCCTGAGTCACTAGGCCGGCCGCCGGCTGTGCACAGCTGGTGCACGCCTTGTGCACGACCATTGCACGGCCTGGCGAGCGTCGCGCTCAATCGCCGTCCGGCTAAGGACTTCCGCCGCGTTGTTCTCGGCAGCGTGTGCCGTCTCTGCGTCAGTCCGGTCCTGTCCAGTTTCGTTCCTACTCTATCCCATACGATCCGTGCGGCCGTGCCTCCTCCATCCCATACGATCCGTGCCTCCTCCGTCCCTTCCATTCTGCTCTCCTCCATCCCTTCCATTCCGTTCCTCTCCCATCCCTTCCGTTCCAGCACAACCCATCCCTTACAGTTCCGCCTTGCTCGATCTCTTCTACTTCCCCTTCAACCAACCCCTTCTCGTTCTGCCTCAGCATCTATCTCCTAGAGGCTAGAGCCCACCCCCATCCCCAGGCAATGCATTACAGTTCCATCTTCCAGTTATATCCTGACTCGTTTCCTTCCTCCCTATCTTCCTTAGACGTTGCGGAAGGGAAGTACGTCACGTTCGCCGGGTTCCGCATCCCACTGGTTTTGACGCTGAGGTCATCGTCCGACCGCTGGGCCAGACATGCTGGCCAGGCGGCAGCCACGCTGACTAACCTAATCAGTGTTCTAAAATTGGATATTGGTTGGGTGTGCCGATGAAGAAAGAACACTCCTAGGATGAGAAAAAAGAAAGTAAATAACTGAAGTATTTTTGCAAAATGGTGTAATGTCAATTTTTATGCCAACTGATAAACCAGGATTGCATGTCAGGATCTTGACAGGGTGTGGAACAAAAGGATGTGGGTGCATCAACTGTCAATTGACATGTGAACTGGCTGTTGGGAATAGATGAAAACTCTTTTCAGAGATGAAGTTAAGCCGGTCATTCATGTTTCAGGGATGAAAATATTTTCCCCATTAGGTGTGATCGGCCGGTCAGTCTTACCTCTGTTGTCTGTAAAATACTGGAATCCCTCATCAGAGACACAATCTATCAGCACTTCTCAGAGAACCACCTGTGGGCAGACTGCCAGCATGGCTTCCGGCCAAAGCGCTCCTGCAGCACCCAGCTGGTCAAAGTGCTTGATGACTGGAGCAGGGCCCTAGAGAATCATAAGCCTGTCGATGTAATGTACCTGGACTTCCAGAAGGCTTTCGACTCTGTTCCTCACCAACGATTCCTCTATAAACTCAGGAGTCACGGGGTGAGCGGCAAGCTGATCACATGGATCGGGGCTTTCCTGAGAGCCAGGAGACAGCAGGTAGTGATTAATGGTCAGTCATCTGACTGGTCGGAGGTGGTCAGCGGGGTACCCCAAGGCTCGGTCCTGGGTCCACTACTGTTCTTGATTTTCATTAATGACATGCCTGAGGTTGTTGGTTCCTCGCTGACGATGTTCGCGGACGACACGAAGCTGTACTCCACGGTAGCCTCTACTCTCGCTGCTTCTAGCCTCCAGTCTGACCTCGAGGCTCTGGTCAACTGGGCGGACGCCTGGCAACTCCCCTTCAATGAGGCGAAGTGTAAGGTCATGCACCTCGGACGAAACAACCCAGCAAAGCAGTATGTGATGAGAGACTCTGAGATGAGCGTCGTGCGGGTGGAGAAGGATCTGGGCGTGCAAGTCGATGACGAGCTGAAGTTCAGACAACATGCTTCAGCAGCCGTAGCCAAGGCCAACCAGATTCTCGCTGTGATTCGTCGCTCATTCGTGCTGATAAACGAGTGCACGCTGCCGCTGCTTTACAAGTCCCTGGTGCGCCCGCACCTCGAGTACGGCAACCTCGTGTGGGGCCCTTTCAACAGGGCGGACCAGAAGCTGGTGGAGAGGGTACAGCGCAGAGCTACGCGCATGGTGGCCAACCTTCGCCACCTGCCCTACCAAGAGAGGCTCAGGGCTCTGAAACTTCCATCGCTGTACTACCGACGCAAACGGGGCGACATGATATTCACCTACCAGATGTTCCATGGAGGGGTTGATGTTGAAGTCACGGATCTCTTCTGCCCCGCCACGGGTGCCGTTACACGAGGTCACCCACACAAGCTCCGCAAGCCAGAGGCGGTCAGCAGACTGAGGAGAGCTGCATTCGCAGTCAGGGCCGTGAACGACTGGAACGGCCTACCTGCTCAAGTGGTCAGTGCCCCCACCGTGGACTCGTTCAAGGCGAGACTCGATGCCCACTGGGGCCATCACTGGTATCATATACCAGACACGGATTAACAAATGGCAAAAGGGACAGGAGCTCGGTTAGAACGGGACCTCCAGGCCGAGTTGGCCTTTATTATGCCCGAACACCGTAAGGTAAGGTAAGGTAGGTAGGATACCTAGTTTAAGATTCTATTGATGCTGAGAAAGGGAAACCAAAGCCTTGAGTTCAGTGAATCAATTGCAGAATAGGAAAATAATACACAAAAATACAATGGTTCAGTCACTGAAAAAGACCTGACAACTAGATAACTTATGTAATAGCTTCCTTGATGTAATTATCTCATTCAGGAAAAATGAAAAGTGAAATCAACCTAAGCATTAGAGTTCCCTCATCTCAATCTGATTGGACTTAGAAGACGATTATATAGCATGGCCATGTATAAAATAAACTTTGTGTCTTTGTGTAGACTGTAGTGAAACCAGACAGTTTGCTTTGAGACTGCAACAGAATACATCAACATTGTGATTGGGTACTAGATACTGATTCTGGTTTAACATAGGCGTAGGAACAGGGGGGCCGGGGGGGCCATGGCCCCCCCCCACTTTCGGAGGTGGGGGGCCAGCAATGTTAACTGGCCCCCCCACTTTTTGCTGACTTAAGTGTCTGTCTGTACCTACCACCCGGTACCCTAAACACCAGAACTTGACAACTATTCAGCTTGCCCTTTAGTGAAGATTCGCTTTTGTTTCTACAGCGTTATTGACCGCAATTTCCTTCACTCAATGAAGAAAACCATATCAGAGACAAGACTGTGAGTCCTGGTGCCGCAGCATTTTGTTGATTACGATGCGCGGGACAGCGAGCACTGAAAAGGTATAAGACAATACTAGCACGGTGCAGGAGAATGCGTATACAAACGACCAACGCTTGACCGGATCTGCTTGGGGTCGGCATAGTTCGTCAAAGGCGTACTAGCTGGGGGCCAGGGTGACCGTGCCCCCGCCTCGGTTCCAACAGGCTGGGGGCCAGCAATGTCTGTATCTGCCCCTCCATTTGCCCCCCCCCCCTCCCCAAACAAACAATGGGCCCCCATGGGCGTATGGGGCTCTGGCACTTATTCGATTGTCACGAGGCTCAAGAATCCAACGCCAGCTATTAACAGTTCCCAAACCAGTCTTTGAGGGTCCTACATTGATCTCAGAGGGCCCTTCAGTGGCGGTCAAGCGCCCACATTGACCACTGAGAACCCACATTGACCTCTGAGGTTCCTCCACTGGCATTTGAGGACCCCTAAACCGGCCTCAAGGGCCCAGCCGGCGTCTGAGGGCCTCACATCGGCCTCTGGTGGCCTCATTTCTGTCTCTGGGGTCCCAAGACTAACCTTTAGGTGCCTCTGAGGCCCCCGCACTGAATTCTGGAGACCCGATGCCGGCCTCTAAGGGTACGCATCGGCCTCTGAGGGTCCATCTTGGCCTTAGGGGTCCAACGCCGGCCCATGCCGATCTGTTACGTCCCCACACTGACCTCTAAGGGCCCATGCTGGCCTGTAAGGACCCACATTAGCCTCTGAGGGCCTTGCACTGGATTCTGAAGACCGATGCTGGCCTCAGAGGCCCATCTTGGTTTTTGAGGGCAAGTACTTCTGCTGGCCTTTGGGGTCCAACGCCGGCCCATGCCGGCATTTTAGGGTCCCACACTGACCTCTGAGGGCCCAAGCTGGCCTGTAAGGACCCACATTAGCCTTTGATGGCCCAAGTCGGCATCTAAAGGTCTGAAACTGCTCTTTGCAGGCCCTGTACTGGTCTCTGAGGGCCTTAACCCTCGCCGGCCGAGGGGGGGGGGGGGTGCCGCCCCTCCGTAGTTTTTTTTCGCGATAGCTCCGATTACGCCGGCGATAAAGAGCGGAAGCTTGGCATACCTGGCCTTTGAATCAAGCCGGATCTTTTGACACCAACCGCATTTTCGGGTCAGATCAGGTCACTGACCTATGAGGTCATAAGTGAACCTCTGCACGGTCTTCAGATGTCGCAACTTCGCAACGCCCTCACTGCCAGAGAAGATTTCACAGGGAAATGAACCTTGCAGGACCTAGTATCCATTAGGAGTCTCACAACTTGTACATCTCGGATTTTCCTAAAGGTCATATGAGGTAAGGTCATTTTCGTGACCTCACCATTAGGCATAAGTCAATGGGGATAAACTGAAAGCTTTTTTTCTGGCGCCGGGAACGATCTCCAACTATCTCAAGCACACCGAATCGTGATTTCATGCACTCCTTGCAAGGTTCGATGCGTCACTTTTGCAATGTTGACCTTGCGCGACGTCATTTATGACGTTATAAGGGTCATATTAGTTTTTCGTCAATAACTACCGATCAAATTGAGCTAGCGAGTCGGGAAAGCCACCAATGGACTTATGAAGACCTTCCGAATCGAATGATATGAGACGAGACCTCATTCGACCAATTTCGTGACCTGGGGGCGCTGACCTGACCGTGACCCGAGGTCAACACCCTAAGTTTACCTCACCCAAATAAAAAGTATATCATTCGACGCACCTGAGAGAGGCGAACACGATGCTGGCAAAATCGCGGCTCTGCGCCCTGCGGCCGTTTCTTGCGAAGTTATTCACCAAAAACGGAACCGTGCCTTGAGGCACTTGACTTGACCTCAGGTCACCGGTTGACCTAGGACCTTAAAATCGGGTATCGATCTCTGCGTCTCGTAACGGCGCACACGCTCGTTTTTTCCGCGACGCGCTAGCTCCACCTGGGGCGAAACGGCGAGAGGGGTCGTACCCGCCCGCCCCCCTCGGCGGTAGGTAGAAAACTTATAGGTCCGGGCCGGCGAGTGTTAAACTGGTCTCTGAGGGCCCACACCGGCCTCTGACAGTCAATCAGCCCAGTTGCAGTGGTCGCTAATATAAAACCTCTTAAAAACCTTACAGGCCTGGCTGAGCCTAGCTGGGCCCTTCATGCTGATTTTTATAGGTATATTGAAAAGACTCGCTTTGCACATTTCACGCTTGCTCGTAATTAAAAAGTTGCTGGATGCCTCTGGAATTTGCATGGGTGCCAACGGCTGCGGAGGACAGGGGAACGCGTCCATCAGTTTGACTTTATTGACGGGAGTCTCCCTGAAATTTAACCAATTTTATTTTTGTTTTTGTCTCGATTTTTTTACCTCTGAGCATGTTTGCGAAAACAAAGTGGCCGAAATCCGAGGAGAAATTAGATTTTGGGGGTAGGTTAGGTTTTAGACCTCTGGGAGCCTGGCCCCCCCACTTTCGAAAACGTTCCTACGCCTATGTCTGGTTACCAGCTACTGATGAAAACATGAAATGTTTTAAGCCATATGTGTGCTTAATCATCATCATTAGGGCGAACTACAGCACGCATCAACACCAAAATAGGTATAGGTACTTCTTGAAACAATGGATATTGCATTGATATTTACCATTGAACCAAGCATCAAGCAGCATCTCTCATTATCATCAAGTCAATTCCATACATCCTGTGCTATGACAACTGCAGCATAGGTAGGCAGGATGTAATCATTGCCTTGGCATTATTGCTTTACTTAACATTCATGACGGTGAGCTTGATAATACATACTGGTGATAGTTTTTAGTTTTAAGGGACACAGGCTATTTTATTCAACTGCACCCAGAAGCCTAGCATGTATGAAGTTAAAACCAAAACAGGGGAAGTGAAGGTACTCACGTTTTGCGGCATCAAGAACTTCTTTGATGTCCTTCACCAGAGATTTAATTGATGCACTGGTGTTTTCAAGCTCCTTTTCATAAGCATGCAGATTTTGCCGGAAGTAGGGGCTGTCTGTCAAGCAGTCAGCTAGCTCCAAGGGAAGCAAGCACTGTCGACCCATTTTGTCGAGTCTTCAGAAACTGTTTATTCTCTATCAAAGCCACGAGCCACACGCACACCTGTTGCACTAACTGCAATGTTTGAATCAGGTGCAGTTCAGTTCAACCTCAACTGAAGAACAACCTCTTCAACTCTGACTCAACCAACCAGCTAGCTTTCTCGAATCAATCAAGGCCCAAATCCATGTTGATATTTACATTGGTAGGAGCACTACCATTTCAATTAGAAGCGCTCCCAAGTATATAAATATACGCTGGATTGTTTCTGTCCAGTCTAGATGGTTCAACACAAAGGCACACCCTGTCACACGAGCCCAGCCCGAGCACCCCACACCTTCAAACGCACTCTCAAAACTGACTTTGATTGACATCATTTTCGCCGGAGGCGCAGCACAACAACCATAACTGTCGCAACTATTTCCTACCATATTAAAGGAATTCCTTTACCTTTACACAATACCGAAACATCATTATCTGATGATTTGTGCGTTGATGCAATATGACTAAGTCACTCAATAGTTGAATTTATTTTTAAAATTAATTTTCGCATATTTCTTGAAATATCAAAGTAATGGGCCATAAGGTCTCACCTCTCTTCGCTGAAAAGAAAAAAGAATAAAGGCAAGGGCAGGTAAAGGGAAAACTCCAATATTGCTACCATATTTTAGGAAACCACTAGCAAATAAAAATAGTTCTGCTATATGTAAAATAAATCCGTTATAAGCATAGATATACAGACATATCTATGGTTATTAGCACCATAAATGAAATTGCTATCATTATAGATGATTTCAAAATCAACGTAATAGTTCTGCTTGATAACAATTTAATATCCAAATCATTAAATCTAAAGAAGGCTAGCAAAAAACTGTCCCGAATCGCATTCCCTGGGGTGATCGTAAAGGTTGAAATAACTAGACTCCGTCCGCTTTCAGGAAATCGCGATTGATGCGGGCAGAATTATAAGGTATATGTATTTCAAAAGGCTCATTGGCGGATCCAGTTGGACTTTTGGGGGGGGGCGTAAGTGGCCGAAAAATGGCCCCTTCGTTTCCATGCACCGCCAAAGGCGTATTGTTAGCCCGCCCCTCGGCCCTCACCCGTATATTGGTGTTTTGCCAGCCGTGAACGTTTAACCCTCGCCCGCACATGGGGGGGGGGGGTGGTTGCCACCCCCCCAGGCAGTCTTTCTGCTCTGCACTCAACATTTTTAGAGCTAGAAGGCTGATTTTTCGTACAGCTGCTCGTCTATCCTTTCTTGATGTCCACTGAAAATTTCAAGTTTCTGTGATTTTTGGTTTCGGAGATATGACCTTGTTTTTCAGGTCATGTCATGACCCAAATGGCCAATTCTCAACATCTTGCGTTTGCCATGGGCCTTGTGAGCTTTTGACACCCTGATTTCGGCCTTTTTTGCCAGTCTTACCTCCCACCTATCATGGAACATGTTGTTCGACGATGTACAGGGGTCAAGGTCAGGGTCAAGGTCAACCTAGGTCATCTAAGATAATTGCGTTTTAGGCAAGCTGAATTTACTTTTTGTGAAGTTTTTTGACTGCATTTTTGGTAAAAGCTTCTCAGATCATGATTTCATGTGATATGGACCCAAAAACAATCGGTGCACACATCAGTATACACACAGACACACACAGACATACAAACACATATAATTGACCTTGACCTAACTTGACCTGAAATGACCTCAGCAGCAAAATTCTGGTCGGATAGTGTGACAAAGAGGTTCTAGCTGGCTTGGCACCAGAAAACAGCATCGTCATCGGTATTTGATAAGCAGCGCACTTGATATCCAACGGTGACCCAAAACAGCAACATTTTTTAGTTTGACCTGACCTGGAAGGTCAATGACTGACCTGAGAAGGTAAAACTGGGTATCATTGGATTTGTCTCTTCCCAAAGAATCTTTTTGGTCTTTACTGCTAAGCTCTATCTCCAACAGGAACGAAATGGCGCGGGGGGGGTGGCAACCACCCCCCCCCCCCCATGTGCGTTCTAGGATGGGAAAATGGCATGTGCGGGCGAGGGTTAAAGGGGGGTCCGTTGGACCCCCTCGGCCTCCCCCTTGTCGTTTCGCCCCTGATCGAGCTAGAACTTCGTGGAAAAAACGAGCGTGCTGCCCGTGAGGAGAAGAGGCCGATGATAACCAACTTTAGGGTCTTAGGCCATGGTTGATCTTTTAGGTCAGGTCAATGACACAAAAGTCGGGAAAATCGGGTCTGTTAGAGCGCCGTTAAGTGTGACTGTTATTCACGTATACGGTCTGTTATGGGGTTTTCGGGATGCTTATCATGAATACCATGCTAGTTTTGATCACAGATGATGTTTCCATGCATTTAGGCCAGGTCGGGTCAGGTCAGATCAGGTCAGGTCAACCAGTAGGGGTCCTGCCAGGTATTGCTAGTGCGCAACCGCCTCACTGAAAAAAATTTTTACTCACTTTTCTGAGTAATGACTGAGTTGCCATTTTGTCCAATGGTAAAACTCACTCTAAATCCGCGTACTCAGGTAAAACTCAGGGCGGAACGCAGGTAAGACTCGGGCAAAACTCATTGCAAGTGAGTAGCATGTGAGTAACAAAGTGAGTTGCCATTTTGTCCGATGGTAAAACTCAGATAAAACTCAGTAAGTACTCATGCGTAACTCATGTCCTACTCAGACAACTCAGGCCAAACTCAGGTATTAGTAAGTCATTACTCATGAAAAACTAGGAAGTAACTCACATGTAACTCAGCTGGTACTAATGTAGGTATAACTCAGGTAGTAGTACGGCCATAACTCAGTTGGAACTCATCGGTTATTCAGTGAAAACTAGGGCTGTACTCAGGACGTACTCACGTCGATAACTCATACGATACTCGGGTGTTACTCAGGCGCCGCCTGAAACGGCTGATCTGATTCGTTTTATATTGGCTCAAGCCAATGTATAGGCTCGCCGCCCATGATAACAGCTGCCGCATCAGCATTATGCAATATGCATGCATGATGCTGATACAACAGCCACTACCAGGCAGCTAGTCTATATATTGGGATTGGCCAATATATAACGAATCATTGCCCAAAACCAGCATACATATCTGTATTATACCATGCCCGACCAACGTCTAGTCTTGCACTATTCGCCCCAGCCCTTACAAGAAATACATGTTTGTAGAAACGGTCGCATTGCGCTGTATTTAAATTCTGACACACGCCAAACTGCGTCGGGGGGGGGGGGGGGATCGACTCCACGTCAGCTCAGCTTCACTCTTTTGCCAGCTTCTCGACCTCAGTCTTCGCGGCTACAGGTGGCTGGCGCTCAGCATTGAATGGTGTGTGGAGCACATGGATACACACAAACCACAGCGTGTTTCGCACTTTGTGCGCCGTTTGTTGACTGAGCACAAAGTGCGCCGTCGCCCACAGCAAAAGACTCCCTTCCAAACCATGGATCCCCACAAGACTTCCGTTCGCTCCACGATGAGGCGGCACCGTTCGTTTTCTTCGGACTTGTTATGATAGGGGTGATCCAAATTTTCGTCACCCGTGTACGCCACCACTGACGCCTTCTCCGCCAAGATGCAGAGGAGGCTCAATGGGCCGTTCCCTGAAAACACAATAAAAAAGTCAGATTTTCTTTTGCCAGTAAGAGAAACGGAAGTTATAGGGCATGCAAGGTGATTGAAATATCAAAAGTTATCAAGTTACTTCAGCTCAAAATTAATGTTAAACCGCGCCGTGCTGGTGCTCTGAGTTTACCGTGATGTACTGGGGGGAGGGGGTCGTCTTCACGTCCCCTCTTCTAACTCGGCTGTTGGGGTTGGGCCACGTAGCGACACGCCGTAAGCGGCTTTCGAAAAAGCATTAAAGATATTTAAGGAAATACTTGGGTAATTTTAAGGTCAAGTCAAGTCAAGCCAAGTCTTGGGTAAGTCAAGTCAAGTCAAGCCAGGTCACCAGAGGTCAGGAAAGGCCAAATTTTGCTTATTTCAATATTTTCGAAAAACTGGTGCTTAACTCGGAACCAAAAGAGCTGCCCGCGGAAAAATGCAGTCAAAAGCCCTTTCGACTTTTTTTTTTGCTGGCGTTTGATCTCAGATTTGACCTCAGGTCAACAATTAAGCCTCCAGAGAGCAAAAACTCTAAAAAAGCCGTTTTTACCAAAATGTTTTCTGTAATACTTTCCACTCAAGAGTCACGACATTTATTTTGCCGTTAGCATAGTGTTCCTCTCGTCGGGACGAATAAACTATAATTAGACCTTGAAAGGCCATATTTAAAACTTGACCTTAGGTTGACCTGACCAGGTCATGTTGCATATCAGTCGATCCAAACCGTCAAGCTGAACACATATGAGGTGTTTTATTGCACTAGCAAATATATTTTATACATGCCAGGGGCGGATCCAGAAAATCTCCAAGGGAGGGGCCATTAGAAACCAGGAGGCCCCCCCATAATCCCACCTGTTGGAGGCCCCATCTTCCCACTTGTTGGGCCCCCCCCCCAAAAAAACTGCGTCTATTGAGCTTATCTAGCTGTTCAGGCAACATCTCAACATCTGTGCAGGCTTGGAGGCCCTCTGTGCAGGTTAGGAGGCCCTGTAAAAGTGGTCATCTCTGTGAGTATAAGAGACCTCCAAGTTATGAAAAGCTTTCCAATCTTCTAACAGAGAAGTCTTCTCAGCTAGTCTTCTAAGAAATAACTAAGTGGGTAGGTTAAAAAAAAAAACTCATCGGATTTCGGCTACTTTATTTTCAGGAGGCCCCCTTTTCAGCTTTTTAACTTTTTAACTTTTTATTTTATTTTTGAAAAAAAAAATCGACCAAGGGGGGGGCCATGGCCCCCATGGCCCCCCCTTGTATCCGCGCCTGATACATGCCGTAAGGTTGATACTTGACACATGGTAATGGGACAGTATCAAAAACGCTATACAATGAAATCCGTTCGATATTTTTTTGACATTTTACCTCAAACTGGTGTGAAATCGAGCGGTGAATTCCCTGAGCGAAAATGACAAAAATATCGAACGGTTTCCATGGCACGTTGCGAACGGTGCGATCGTCAGCGACCATTGAAATTTTTCCGATGTTAAGTCATTTGACGTGACCTGACCTTGAACGACCTGGGTCTAAAATTTCTTCATATGCAGAAACAAATGTATGAGCACAGAGCAGGTGTGCCGAAAATGGTGGCGCTGCGCGCCGCCGTTCTTAGATATTCGCGAAAAACCTGAGGGGGCGGGGTGGGGGGCGTAAAACGCCACCCAGCACAGCGCGGGTCAAGGTCGGATGGTCACCTTAACAGTCGGGTTTTAGTCTCGTAAAACACTTCCATGGGCGTCCAATATTAAAATCAGCTTGAA